CAGCATGGACTGTTGACTTCTTATGCATGCACGTCAAATATAAAACTATACCACGCGGGTCACCACAAAATTTCCCAAATGCTCTCCACATTTTCATGTGGTTTTCATGTTTTCGTCATTAGCCGGGTGCCGGGCTCGGCTCACTGGCCCTCCCGCTGGCGTCAGCGCGCTGCCGACACGTCAGATGATGTCATCCTCACCGGGTGGCGGCGGGGCCCGGCCATCACCGCCGTGACGTCACTGATCTCTGACGTCACTGGTTTGGAGATCGCTCTTTTCGTCATCCGACAGAAGCTTTTTAAACATATGCTATCAGAAGCTGTCTTAGACAGCTATCAGCTGATCGAATAAAACGTATTTGCAATTGAAGCCACCGTTCCGATGCGGCTCGCCTTAGTTTCATGAATAATTTATACATTAAAACAACGAGTGTGTCTGTGTGAATGTAATGTTTCTGTGTCCATGAACCCATCGCAGTACAGTGTGGACCGTTCTGGTCCTCCAAATCGTGTAAACAAAGGTGGAAGGAGATTCAACGACGGCTATTATTGTAAAGAGAGGCCAAATATATCTGCAAACGACGACAATGATATGTAAACACATGATGCAATGCACTTAGCTAGCCGAGTGCAAACCCGCGTACCTCGCTGCGCAGCGTAGAGGCAGCACAAAGCAGTACAATCTTGGAATTGCGCCCGGATGACGCGTTTTCGGCTCCATTTATGGCGAATCATTCGCCGACATGGGGCCCAGCAGCGGTTCTAGGCGTGGGGCCTCCAGTCCGAAGTCAATAGCCCCATCAACTACTAAAACATCCAATCACACACCTCCGGCCGCTACGTGGGCCGAGGCTCTAAGCGGGAGACCGCAACGCGTGGCCAGCACAGTATCAGAGACTGCATCAGGCCTGCCTGGCACAGGGCGCTAGCACCAGGACTCGCGGCGGCCAGCGCGGCGCGGCGCGGCGCTGTTTACCGGCACCTTTCGCCACCGCGGCGCAGTCGTCACCGCGCCGCCGTCACCGCCGTCCTTCCAGCACGAGGAGGCGTCCTGGCGGCGGCGCGAGCGACACGGCACCGCACGAGCCCGGCGGCCGGCCGCCCAAACGGGATGTGCCGTAAAAGAGTGCAGCTTACAGCGCGCCTACAAGGCCAGCTGGCGGGAACTGGTCCGGCCAGCGCGAGCGGACCGCCGCGCCGGGCGGATGTGCAGCCTGCTCGCCCGCCCGGCCGGCCGGCATGGCACCGCTGCGCGCGCGATACCTCACCGAACGGCGCGGCTGTCAGCGGCGCCGGTCTGTGGCTGATAGTCTACAGCTGTCAACCAGCAGCGTTCTGTGGCTGACAGTCAACAACTGTGGATGTCAGTCCACGGCTGTGGATGTCTCCTGACTGTCTGACATCCAAGAATCATCGGCCGTCTGTCAGCTGCTTGCGGCTGACAGTCAACAGTCACCATCCCTCAACAGTCAACAGCAGTCAACTCTGTGTCTTGTCAGTCAACATTTACCTAACAGGGTCTGCTGTTTATGACTGGCAGGCATCAGCTACCAACGGTCAGGAGAGAAACTAATTGAGATTCCGCAGTGAATTGTTTGCATTTCGGCTGCAGCTAAAAGTCAACATCACCAGTCATTCCTGAATGCTCAATGGGTGCTAAGCAGATAGGGGAAATTCCCTCGTTCGGCATATTATCAATCAGGCATTTGATTGTGAAATTGGAAAAAGAAAACGGCTATGTGACATAAGGCTACCCATTCAGAAGCAGCTCCGACAATTTTTTAACGCACTCTAAATGACCAGAGGCGAACTATGCCTTGAACAAATAACGGTAGTTCTTTTACAGGCGACCTCAGCATATGAACATAGCCGAAAGCCTAGACATCAGAAGGGTTATGCGCTTGTTTATGACTTCAATGAGGACCATGAGCAGATATAAAGTAGAAGAGAAATTGCACGAGGGGGTTTGGACATGTGACAACACGGGAGAGAGGCCGCTTGGTTGTATGGTTACCATCGACCGTTCAGCATTTGTGGATACTGGATAGGGTGTGTAGCTATTAGAGATGTCAATCGGATACCAACTTTTTGGTATACCGATACCAAACCGATACCAACTCGGTATTTGGTATGTCAATCCTAATGTGTTTGGTATTTTGTTGGTATCATGAACCCTCGCTAATGTTTAAGAGGCTAAGAAATCGGTAAAAAGTTGGTATTTTCGTCATATTCCCAACTTGGTTTGGTTTCGGTATTTCTCCACGGTTTTGGTTTGTATTTGGTTTGGTATCGGTATTCCGATTTTCCGTATAAATGACATCACTAGTAGCTATCGCCGAGAATGAATGACGGCTTCGATCTGACATGACATATACTGCGTAATTCATCAAGTCAGCCTTCCCTCAGCCCTGAAATCCTCCCTGAGCCAGCAGCCTGCGGCTAGTCATGACCATATACTCGTAGGCACAGTGACAGGAGCCATGTCACAAGGAACAGCTTGGACTTTATATAAATGGAAATGCTTACAGAATGTGTGGTTGGCTGTTTGATCTTTGGTAAATGCAATTGAAAGACATGTTTTATGCAAATGGTTTTAAAAGCTATAGACATAGGTGATATTCGCTAAATAGGCAATACAAACAAATAAACGTTTTTAAATAAATGAGCGTTTTATTTTGACCCAGCCCATGATCTTAGGATGTTATAGGGTACCCTATTCAAAAACGATTCTCAACCTTGTCTAGCATCCAATACTTTTGGATAGATCGTGCAACTCTTTTCCTGGATTAATCTGCATTTTAACTTATCAGACAAATTGTTACAAGTTGCGCATGGGAAGCTGCGAAAGATCCACGTCCAATCCGTGACGAAAATAGATTCCGTCCGACAATGGTATGCGTTCGTTAATTGAAGAAACCTGTTCCGTTCTATGCGGCTGCAACCACCAAGTGGCCATACATCACGGAATAAACGTGCACGACTTCCGACTCTGTAGTTAGCATTACTTTGCATATGATCATCTTGCTGTAAGCACCTCATTTATACCGCCCTTTACTGCGTTACAGCATTTGGAATACAAGTTCCCAGCAATAACTTCGAAAAAAGTCCGCTACTATTACATCAATTGCCAGGCTGCCAATGCACAACCTGCATCAAAGTAGCTCAGGCATCACCGGTGACGCAAATTAGGCGGCATCGCGGGATTGTTATTTTGTTTTTCCGATATCGACATGATGAGGAAAACTGGAATAGCGAAAGCGGGCCGGTACCGTGCTGCCATATAGGGGCGTGCAAGGCACGGCCACTGACAGCCAGTCAGTGAGCACGGCACGCCGCAGGCCGGTCGGGAGCTCCGTCAGACCGGCCGGCCCGCTGTCACCGGGCGAGGGAGCCGCCAGTGTCAGCCGGGTGACACTGGCGACACCGGCCTGACACTGGGCTGACATCGAGCTGTCACCGGGCGCAGGAGTCGCGAGTGTCAGACGGGTGACACTGGCGACACCAGACTGACACCGAGCTGACACTGAGCTGCCAACGGGCGAGGGAGCCGCGAGTGTCAGCCGGCTGACACTGGCGACACCGGACTGACACTGGCGGCACCGCGCTGACACCGAGCGCAGCGGCCGTCTGTGTCAGACGGCTGACACTGGCGACACCAGACTGACACTGGCGGCACCGCGCTGACACTGGCGGCGCCGCGCTGACACCGAGCTGACACCTGGCGCGTCGGCCTATTGACTGAGACGACTGACACGGAAGGCACCGGAACGACACTAGTGATACCAGACTGACACTGGCGGCACCTGAATGACACAAACTGACACCAGTGAGTAATGAACTCCGCTGCCGTGAATGCCAATTGTATAGGACATGAGTGGTTACCAAGGGTGCCGCCATCTGTGCCGAGTGTCTGACAGCATCCGACATTGTTACAACACCAGAAGATAACTTTTTGAGTTGAACAATATCCACCACATTCCATCAACGCCAGCTTATACCAGCGAACACTTCTTCCGAAGACTTCACACCGGTTTGACAACGGTACAGCACTACTGGGAGCACCAGAAGTGCCGTCGCCAGCCCGACAACCGGTATCGCACCAGCAGGCACCAACCAGCGGACGACGGTGAAAACAGGGCGCCTGGGGCGATTTGATCAAGGTTCGTGATATTTACAAGTGATGTTTAGCATGTAGAAGGCCCATTGAAGGGGGGAAGTTCCAAATGTCACGTGACTAATATGCCCTCCGGCGCCCTGTTTTCACCGGCGTCCCAACGAACGGTTACACTGTTACCCAGTGACGGCACTGGTGTCGACCCGTGACATTAGTTGTCAGGGGAAAATGTGGCATCACCTCAAAACATAACAAAGGTGGCGTGTAGGAAAAGGAAGCAGGCATTTCGTGGCACGCTTAGTCGGGAAAGATGAAAGACATTCATAGTCGATGTGCTCACAAGTTCAATCAATGAATTCTGTTGACCTACGAAGGTATTGTTACATGTTCACTGAGCTTTCCCTGGCCTAGGAGCAAGAACGATTGTCCACCGCTACCAACTTTTGGAAAACTGCCTCCATGACACTTCGTAACACGGATGACAATAGCTTACAATGGCATTATGACCAGGGACGATAATTGCTGTTAAACTACCGTATTACGAACCACAGGACCACTGGTACGAGTAACGGTGCCAATTTTCGCGGCTCACTCAGCGGTAAATGAGCTGTTAGCTCGTAAAAACGCATTTTGCAATTAACTCAAACGGCCTTCAGCGAGGAAATGACCTACCATCGTAAATGCTGCAAGGCATAGGTCGTTTATCAAGTTGAAGTCGTTTATGAAGTCCTATGATGGGTTATGACCTACGGGACTCGTGGAGCACAACATCAAATAACCACCACGCCCCCCCCCCCCCCCCCCCGATGCCCTGTCATCCACAATTACTACATCAAGAGCAATACAACTTTGCATCATTCCAGTCTGTCCGACCTGTGGTCACCCACCTGTGAAGCATGCCCAGAGAGCTCCACCTCTGCTGCGTCGGCCGCTCCGGGGTCCACGCAGGTCGCTCACCACGAGGGGCCGATCCGGCGGGCGCCCGTGAGTCACCAACGCACCACAGCAGGTCACCACTGTCGGCACCAGACACCACCGCACCGCTGGCTCACTCGGTCCGACGGCGTCACTCAACTGGCTTACCGACCGCAGCGGTATCACCAGCCGGCTGGCGCGCATGCGCACTGGATGCCGATGGTCGGTCAGGCGGGCCGGTCGCGCACGGTCCCGTCGAGCGGCTGACGACTCTCATGACCGGTGCAAATCGGTCCGTAGAGGCTTTACTCAGATGAGAGAGTAGCTTTGGCTATAGTAAGCCGCGGACGGAGTGCCATTCATGCGTGAGCGCGCGGAACCCCCCACCCCCCGCGGCGGAGAAGCGAGTCGCGCAGTGGGCCCCCGCGCCGTTCCGGCAAAGTCCAGGAACGGTCGCCGGGTATGCGCCAACATGCAGTTTGCATTCCAAGGCGGTTGCGATTCGGCGATGAAAGACAGGGAGGAGTAGGCGGCGACACTGTGTATACGTGCAAGTCACGCCGCTTTGGTAAACAGCGAGAGATTCGCGGCTCGCCCAAGCAGCTAAGCCGGCGTATTTGGTGCTGGCGGCTGACTCTGCTTGCTAAGTTTCTTATGATGCTAAAACTGAGGTCACGCGAGGCCCTACATTAGCATTCATTACATCAATAAACGCTGCCAGCAAATACAAACGATACTGCACTGCGGCTCGTGAATGAAAGCGTCGAGAATAAATAAAAGTCATTGGTTATGAAAAAATACATGAATAACATGACGAAAGCTATTTATGTTTTAATTTAAATTCATGCAAGCATCCAGCATCCAACAACCCGCTGCCAGCTTTTTACAACACAATAACACATATATAAATGGAGTCCAATGCCCGTATCTCCACTGCGTACGGAACGGGTTACCTGCGTTCACCACCACCGCCCGCACTGTATGCCAAGTCGATCCTACAGCTAACCCACTATACATGATCTTACAAGCGCCGGAATAGGCACATCAGATGTTGCAGACTTTCATACATCATGCATCACTATACATCACTACATAAACATCACTAAAATACATCATGCATGCGTCATCAAATGTTCTGTATCGGCCCCACACGCGAGTCATGAGCCCGCCAACGTTTATCGGTGCTGGCGGTTATAAATTTGGGTTTTCTGGGCGCACCTACATTGGTGCTTAGTTTAGCGCTCCTGACGGGCTGAATTTGGACCAGGGAGTGATTTTTTGGTTTGCGGTTTAAAACTATTGAAAAATTGCCCCATCACATTCACCAGCTTGCTCTTTATCTTTAAAGAGCAATGCGATGCCATGACCTCATGTGCACGTGCAGTGAGCTGAAAGTCACGCACGGATTGTCGTGTCACTGCCCCAGACACCAGCGTCCCTTCCCCCATTCGCCATCCCACCACACCCTCGGCCCGTCCGGTGCGTTGCTGACAAACTCGATCATCGTTGACCGGTTCCAATGCACCCGCTCCCCATCGCGTCCCCGCCAGTGACTCACCCCTGTCCCCTCTCACAGCTGACTGCAGTACCGCGCCCATCCAGACAGACTTCAGCGGAATCTGGACGGTTTGTTGCCAAACAACGCCTCCACATATCATCCAACCAGTCACGTGACTCGGCGCAGTGGATAGACCCCACGCCCGGGTCATGTCACGTGTCGTCAGTGACTCACGGTCCGAGGCTAAGAAGCGCCCTCGGCGCCGCTCGCGTCCGCCACTCGAGGTCTGTCTCCTCTCGCAGGAAGCGCCGCGGGCTGAGCACGAGCGGCTATAGAGTGCAGCTGGGTATCACCTCGTCGGTGGCAGACGAGAGGCGGGGTTAGTCATCAGGTGTGCGCCCCGGGGCGCGGCACAGAAGGCCAGCTGGAGGTGCGCAGTTCGCAGGGCGGTGCAGTGCCTCCAGCCATGGTATGGCGCTAATGGGATGTGGATAATGGCAGACTATGCGTGCGTTCGACATCCGGATAATCAGGGATAAGTTTCCGGGAATCGGGATCACTTCGGTGTTTTAGGCTGGCGACACCGTGTACAACGGACATGACAACGAGTAAAAGAGGCATCTGTGAAGCGAAAGCAACATAAAAAATGTGACTGATTGCATCGACGCCGCAATACAAAACAATTACCACTGATCCCGGATAATTATCCCTCATTTTCCGGATGTCGAGCGCAGGGTATGGTTAATGACACACTGAATCGGAAAATTACACCAGTGACCCCCCTTGATGGGCCTAAGGTTATCTGAGATAACGAAAGGTCTCCACCAGGTTTTTTACAATAGCTTTTGATAGAGACATGCTAGAGCGATGTAAGCAGCGTAGATGTGTTCAGGCCGACGATATGGAACGACTAGTATGTAGGCAGCATGACCTTTTCCTACGGAAGCTACGGAAACAAAAGTTCTTTATCGGCACTTTTCCGTATATCTTGATACTATGTAAATTCCAAGATGTTTTGAAAGTTGTTAACCCTATTAGTGGCAGGGGGGTTGTTTTTATCCACCCCTCAGGTTTTTCGGGAATATCTCCGAAACCGCTGAAGCTACGATGCTGAAATTTTCTGACTTTTCCTAAAACTAAATTGGGCACATTCCCTGAAAATTTCAAGTTCATAACTTTACCAGGGGCGGCTCCAGAGCACTGGGAATTGGGGGGTCCTATTCGTGAAGCGAGTCATTTGGGCGAAAATCACGATGCTGATGTATTATAACTGTATGCACCAGTTTTACGAACAGTGAATGAAAGGTGTCATGTGATAACATATACAAAGTTATTGTGCATCCTCTTTTGACACGTTTTTGCTATAATAGGCGGATCCAGGCGTCCAAAAAGGGGGGGTTATGTTTTACCTCCCAACATAGGTGCCCTGACACCGCCTATGCATGACCAATACAATTGTAGTCGTTCTCTCATAAGAAAATTGTAACATAACAAGACCATTACCACCCTTTTTAGAAACAGTACCAACAAAAACCTTATTTACTATACTTTTTGTGTACCCCCAATCTCAATGATCTGTAACCGCCTATGATTTTTGAAAATGCATATTTTTAGGATCCATGTGAATTCCTGGTTCATTCTCTATCGATCGGCAAAAGTGGCGTTAACATTGGTTCAGAAACCTGGCCGTGGTAAACAGTCTAAAATGTATCTGCAATTTGCCCGTTTTTACCCCCCTCTACCCCCATATGGACATTTTTTAATTCTTATTTTTTTAGAAATGTAGATCACGTTGAGCGAAATCGAATGCCGTTTGAATTTTCAGGCCCGTTAGATCTCGAGATATCAAGGGGGGTTGTAAATAGCCCCCCCCCTGCCACTAATAGGGGTAGCCAGGAGCCTGCCACGAATAGGGTTAAGCTTAAAGGGACTATCCCACCTTTAACATGGGGTTTGAGTTGAGATAGCCAAGTTTGCGGCGAGGTTCAGAAACCACTATCTATCTAGGTTGCAACCCCCGCGGCCTTTTGGTGTTGAAGAAATTCGTTCCCTTCATTTGAAAATGGGCCTTGTACAAGGCCCTATCTTCAACATGGAGCGACCGTTAGTGTGACGTCACCTCGTTTAGTCATTCTGATTTAAATGGGTTTGTTCGTTGAAAAATCGCTTAAAACTTGGTCTGAACTTTGTTGTGGTGCCTACAGAGTAAAAAGAATCAGCTTTATGACAGTAATGTGGCCTGGGGAAGGAGGTAATTTTGGGCTGTGACGTCACATATTTGAAAGTTTGTGTTTGGAATACGGGAAGCCTAAGATGTTTAATGAAAAAGAAACGCCAGAACCGTGTTCCTGGTCATCCAATCTATAAAGTCGGGCACAATTTAACTGGTTTTAACAACATTTTAGAAGGTGGGATAGTCCCTTTAACAGGCCCCTTTTTGTGGTTCAACTTACGTTATAATGCTGCTCCAAGGTCAAGGTCACGGAAGAGTAGCCTTGCTAAAGGCTATTTCACGATTTAATTCAGTCATGATAATTAAGACATTTTCGCCATCCTGAGGCTCTAAATGAATGCGTAGAGCAAAATTGAGGCCAGATTCGTGATCGGCGGCTACGAACCAATCGCATAAGTCCTTTCATGAGTCTAGGTCAACCACAGGTCAGTCGAGGTCTGTTGAGGTCAACATAAAACTTGACTTTTCCAAATAAAATACATGCCATTTAGCGCCGCTTGACATGAGGCCAATGCAATGGTACTTACCACTGCCGTGGCTCTAAGACCATTTCTGTTGAAGTTATTTGCGAAAAAAATAAAGCCCCACCTCGGGGCTGTTGACCTGACCTCTGACCTCAGGTCGCCAAAACTTTTGTGTATTTTTTCCTAGGTCAAACGCTACATTTTGTCGGTGCTCACTGTTCCCATGGCGGGGCAGTTCTGCTGTCGCTGATCTGTCCATCAACGCTTGTTAGCTTAAAGGTAGACTGCCACCTTTTTTCCACAAAACGGTTTTCACTAGAGCTGAGCCACCTATGTCCCAGACTGAAGTCGGTTTTCCGAAATTCGAACCCGTTTGCGAGAAATCGGAGACCAAAGTTCAGTTTGATGCCATTTTTTTAGTCCAAGAAAACCGACATCTCTACTGTTTATCGATAACTTTGAAACATGAATTTTCTTATGTTTTGGTAAATATATGTCAAAACTTTGATTGTTTCGAGATCAGAGAAGAATTTTGGAGTGTCAAAATAAAAGTTAAACTTATATATTCAGTAGTTCATTTTTTCCAAAAAAGTGTGGGAAATGGGGTTTAACATGGGCCAGACCCATTCCAAATGAGCCATGATTTTTAAATGTTTTACGAACTTAAATGCAAAATAAATTAAACATGGCCAATTTCTTATGAAATCATATATTAGTAAATCATAAAATACCTTACTTTTTCAAATAAAATGTAATAATCTTATGACCTTGAGGTCTAGTGATGTGTAAACATTGTCGCTAGACATTAACCGATTGATAATTGTATGATAATCGACAATTTTTTTCGCGATTCACGTGATGATACTTTGTCAGGTGAATTCTAAAATTTTGTTTTGTCCAGGGAATAAATCATAGGCCGATCTGAGAAAACTTTTTGAAGGTGGCAGTCTTCCTTTAACCTTCCAGGCGGTGGGGGCATTCCTCCCCCTTCAGTTTTTTCGATATATCTCCAGAACCGCTGCGCCGACCGTCCAAAACTTTACGCAGCGTCCCGGGAATAGCTTTTACACATTGTGGCCATAATTTTTTTCCAAAGGCTATGATAGGTTGGCCGCTAATGACGTCGGAGTGACGTCATGTTCTGCCATTTTCGACCCAAAAAAGGTTTCGCGAGATGAGCGGTCAGGCCTACAGTCTTGAAGAAACAGAAAAAAATATTCGAGACATAAAGGATGTAGATTAGAATTGGTAGGGCTATAAAACTGCTACCTTGTGTTTTTATTTTTTTTTTGATTTTGACCCCCAAAAATAGAAAAAGTATTTTTTTATATAATAGCAAAAAAATCCCAAAAGTTTTTCGAATTTCGAAAAAACGGAATATATGTAATAGTAACCATCGTCTTCTATCCACATACCAAATTTCAGGTCGATACCTCTCTTTTTTGGCCAAGTTAACACGATAACACGGTTCAAATATAATGAAGTTGAATTTTCAAACTTAATTTTTAGCATATCTAGACCACGTAACGCAAAACAAAGACCACCACTAGGCTCCCCGTGACGAGCTGCGTCAAATCGATACCCATCTTATGCAAAATATCAACTTTGATATTTGACCTAATTGAAACCTTGACCTGGCCTTCACCAGAAAGTGTCCTTAACCGTGCCTGACGGTCTCATAACCAACACCACCCAGTTGGAAATGAAAAATTGGCCATAAAACATGCATCTCACAACCTTAGTAAAGCTGGGTTCATGTACTTGGTGACCTTGGTGACCTGACCTGTGACCTGACCTGGTATTATCAGTGACCTCTAATAGCAATTATGTGCTAGGCAGTTCTGACAGTGAGGCCCTATCGCTGATTTTCGACAAAATGCGTTTTACTCGATGTTATAGCGCATTCCCTAGAAGACCCGTGAAAGGTAAAACATTTTATCTTTGACCTGACCTGTGACGTCATCAGTGACCCCGAGGTCAATTAAATTGAAATTCCTTATACAAATTTGACAGGGCTATCGAGCACCGTTTAATTTTACGGATCCGTCCAGTAGTTTCGGAGATACGAGGGGGAGGGGGGGGGGGGCAAAAAATGCCCCCCCCCCACCGCGCGGAAGGTGGCCGGGAGGCCCACCGCCTGCCGGGCTAATTTGCGTCTAAATATATAGGAAGTAGGTAAGGTACCCATGCGTTCAAGCTCTGTTATCTATGATAACGTTGTAACTTGCAAGTAGGTATAACATTAGACAGCCTCGCTATCACTGCACAGGTAGTCATCCGTCATTCACAAACGAAAGCAAGGTGAACACTGAACAGGTTCTGATAAGCATAAGTTATCAAGTTCTGTTTGAGAAGTGGGAAAAATTAATTGCACATAGGTATTGAAGCATGACTTATCCTTGAGTTCTGTCCTGAATATTGTTTATGTTGGAGCATTTAACCCGCGCATGACTGGGGTATTTTCCATGACGCGAGTGACTGGGGGGGGGGGCTCTCCAGAGCCCCCTCCTATCTCCGAAACTACTGGGCCGATCGTCAGAATTCAAACGGCGTATGATAGCCCTGGAAAAACTGTCGAGCGAAATATATTTTCATTGATCTCGAGGTCACCGATGACGTCACAGGTCAGGTCAAAGTAAAAATTATCGGCATTTTCGCTTGTTCACCATTTAGGCTCTAGCCGCCGACTGACAAGTCCGATTAGGCTCATTTTTGGTTCACGCCTTCCTTGATATATGCCTTAGATACCCTGAGGGTAACGAACTTTTACTTCGAATTTTTCAGGTCAAGGCCAGGTCATCCTAGGTCACGAAAATTGTACATCATGTATCGGTCACGTGACGCATGTTTCATTGTCCATTTTACTCGTAGATTTCGAAAATAATGTCATCTGTGTCATTTGAGGTCATTTTCAGCTGAATTCACCGGAGGTCAGGTCACTTTCAGGTCAGAAAAGGTCAAATTTTGAAAATGAAATTGTTCAACAAAAAAGGTGCCTATCAGATGCAATTTGAGTTCAGGAACACGATGGTGCCATTTTTAATGCTGTGCGATGCCAAAAACGTACTGAAAAATGGTTTTGAAAAAAATACTATTGTAAAATTTTGACAATAATGCTAATAGCTTGGCTACTTTTCAAGATATTGGGATAGAACTTGCTACAGTAGTTCATTAGTGTGTCTTCTATCACATATAGGTACCTACCTATTCCGGTTTTTGCAAAAAATCAAAAACTTAAAAAAAAATCAAAAGATATAACTTTTGTAATTGTAAAAGTCTTTTTTTTTCAAATTTTTCTAAATTTCGAAAATTCGAGATAGCAGTTTGATAGATACATGTATTTGTAGCCCACTGATGCAAAGAAATTGGATCTAGCTTTTAAAACTAAGCTCTTGAGAGCGTTTGCCGTCATTCAATATTTTGCATCAAAATCGGCTGACATGATGTCACTCTGACGTCATTTTCGGCCAAACTATGGTAGCTAGAAAGTTGAAATTTTAAAACAAGGTGTCAAATTAATGCCGCTGAAGGTACCACAATTTTCGTGTTGATCCGTCAAACGGTTTAAAAGATATTGCCAAAAAATGGGAGGGGCTCTGTAGAGCCCGTCATGCGCGGGTTAAAAACCAACAACAAAAGTGATCGACCTGATCACCCCCACGGCCCACACTGGTAGCAACTGGTAGCGACGCAACGCAGATGTTTAGAATAATATCGACTATGCAGAATGAACTGATGGCAGAACTGTGCTGCCACCATCCGGCTGAAACCAGCACTAATGCTTTTCCTTACTCCTGCGAGAGCTGCAGATATTCTTGATTTTTTTTCTAGCAAATATCCGAATAATCTTCCCCGAACTGGAAAGGTAACTGTTCGTCTATCTTCTATAATTGCACGTCTTGTGCCAAGCCAGGATATGTCACTTTTTTGCGATGCAAGTGAAGCACAAGTCAACCCTACGCTACGGACCGAAGCTGCTAATACCAAAAGCGAAGGTGACGATGGTCGACTCTTTCCCAAATTGATGTTATTTTTTTATTGAAAAGCGTTTTGGGCATAAAAACGCAGGAACATGGACCATTCTCTTATCTGAAAGAAATCTACCGGATAAAAACCAAGAATTCGGGTACTCACTGGACAGCCTGTGAACACGTCAGAATATTCATACACCTGTAAATGACATCTTCTCCCCGTTCACGATCGACTTGTGATGTGCATTGTGCAATATCTCTGTCGATATTTATCTTCTCCCTTCCATGACTTCTGCCGGGAAAACAACAATATGAGCACGAAACATGTATTTGCCACGCGTTCGCGGCCCCAACCACACACACAACATAGCAACGGGTCACCGGCCAGGAAGAGCGATCAGAGCGGCGGGAAGAGCAGGACCAGGGCAGAGGTCGGGAGCCTTAGATCAGCCCAGCGCCTTCTGCGCACAGGGTGTCTGGGAGACCTTCCCAGAACACCCCAGACGTGGTCACAACCGACCCGTCGCGGTCCCGGGGCCGCACACCAAACATAAAGCTCGGACAAGCGAGACGGCGCCGCTAGCGCCGCCTGTCGGTCAACACTGAAAGCTCGGCGTCGGGCGGCGAGTCGGTGGAATGCTCTCTCGCCGACTCCCGGGCTGACTCCCGGGGAGGTAGCGCCACTGTCGGCCGGTCGGGACACATCACAGCTAACACTGGGAGACTGCACGCGGCGGTGGGCTCTACAGGTGCCCGGCAGCCCGGGGGCCAACCACAGCGAGACCGGGCACTGCGGACAGGTCGCACACGACACGTCGTGGCAGAGACGGACCACCACTGACCTCTCCCCAAAACACACACACACACACTGGCACCCCATGTCTCCACTGCGAGATCCAACGATGGGAAAACTAAAATATAAAATTGATTCAACATACCAGTGACCGAATTTGAGCGTTTTGACAATTCGGTGACTGGCTAAGAACAGCTGATAATATATCTATTAAAAGCTGGTCAGCATTAGTCAATGAACTTACTCTATCAGCCGTTAACTTGTTAGAAGAGCGCATGATCTCGATAATCATTAAAACGACAAAAATAGCACGCTAGCACAAGATGATTGTGCTCTGAATGCAAAGCATGTGCGGGCAAACTTAACATGTCTTCAAAAAATAACATTTGTGCCTTTGTGCGAAATATTCCGCGACAAGCAAACAGTCTTTTTTAAGTCTCCCAAACATACAGCACCAACTTATGGCTTCAGGGCAATGCCCTCTTGGAACAAAATTAGAGCACCTCTGACATCTAAGCTCTTACACAGCTCGCTCGGGAACTTCACGGCCTCTAAACCCGAGGTCAACACAGCTGACCAATCAGGGAACAGGTGAGACGGGCCGACCAATCAGGAGGCGAGACGCTGTGACCTCACCATCGACCAAGCAACGTCTTCGCCGCTAGCGCCACCTATATCAGACTAGACACGATCGGCGCGACACCTAGCCGGGTGTAAAACAGCCTCTATCGTAATACTCGGGGCTCCACGGGCACAGGTAGCGCGAGAAGCGGCTCGGCGTTGGACAGCGACCGAATCGGCTCTCGCTCGGATCGAGCGGTGGCTGGCTCGTACACAAAGAGTATAAAAAGGACGACCGGGTCGGGCAGGGTCCGAGGGCCGAGGGGCGCGGAGCGGCGGTCCAGACGGACCTACGGGCATGGTCCGGCCGCGGCCGAACCGTCGGGCGACTGGCGGCGGCCCGTTACATCAGGGCGCACTGACGGCCGCGCCGGCGCCGGCGCCTCTTGCGGTCCTGGTCCGACGGAGGCGAGGTGCGGATGATACGAACCACCTGTCAACAACAGGTACGAGGAGTTGCTAGCCTCAGACCGAAGTGACCTGCGACAATAGCTCAGTACCCTCAAAGGACCGGCACGACGCGAAAGGAAGCAAACTCCAGTGGTAAAACGTATTACATTGCAGGTACATCAAACCAAAGCAAAATGGTCCAACCAATCCGACTCCAGAAAACTTAGTTCCACAGAGGGAATCACGCAACGGAGTGTGACTTGACATAATGCTCATCCACATGATCGTCGAAATCTACGCGCCAACATTTACTTTTTAAAATGTGGGGTCGCTGATGTATGTACGTCCCCGCCCCTCGCCCCTACCATCTCCCTCAAGTCTAGTAAGTTCGATTGCAGGCGCATCAGCGCTTACCTCGTGGAACGCGGCGTCAACGTTTAGCGGCGGGTCCTTGGCGCTGGTCTCAATGTACGGAATGGCCAGTTTGGCGGCCAGGTCGCGGCCCTGCTCCTCGGTCACCTTACGAAGGTGCACCAGGTCGACCTTGTTGGCCACTAGGAGCATCGGGTAGGAGTCCCTGTAACAAACGAGCATATGTGTGGTGAGCTGCGTGAGACAGGTTGTGGGAGAGAGATAACGCTTTCTGAAGCCAGGTATCCAGAAGAATGGGACACAAAAACATATACAAGAAGTGTTATAAACGTTCGTCTGAAACAGCGAATCGAGGCAAAATACTAATGAAAAATATCATTCAGTTATCATTATCACAACAGTCGACCTCTTAGCTACAAGCATACAATAAAGAAAATGTGCAGTAGCAGTACCACCCGTAGATACATAGCTACCTACCACAGGACCCTGAGATCTACAGATGCCAGTGAGCCCATGGCTAGATCACGCACCTGTCTTTGACGCGCAGGATCTGCGTGTGGAAGTGCTGTATGTTGGCATAGCTCTGTTTGTCGGTGACAGAGTAGACGAGCAGGAAGCCATCGCCGGTGCGCATGTACTGCTCGCGCATAGCGCTAAACTCCTCCTGACCAGCAGTGTCCAGCACTGTGGGCAGATTAGGATGCACGGAACAGGTCAGAACACAGACAGAAACTGCGAGACAGCAGATGGGGGCAAGGGGGAAGGGTTACTGTCAGACGATCGAGGCATCAACTCGTTAATGTGACCGAGACCGAGTCTACGCGTAATACGATGCGATCGGCCATTGTAAAATGGATTGGCATTACTCAGTAAAGAAGTGTTCGATTTTGCAAAGCTTTGTCAATGTTGCAAAACTGTTACCTACTTGAAGATCAGTCAGGGGGGTTCGCCATTCTAATTTTATCATTCCTTACTTGTTAAAGCAGAAGCACAGAAAAAATAAAGCTGGTTAATTGCTCTAATTTCCCATGATCACAAAAAAACTTCCTTGCTAGTCTAAGCATGACAGGCCTTATCCCCGCGCCCCTCCGTGTCCGCTCGGCCACTCACCGTCCATGATGCACCACTGGGCGTCCACCTCGCAGTGCTGGATGTACGAATCCTCAATAGTCGGATCGTAGTCGGTGACGAACAGCTTCTGGAAGAACTGGATGGTGAGCGCCGACTTGCCGACGCCGCCGTCCCCCACCACCACCAGCTTGTAGGTGGTCAGGTTTCCGCTGGCCGCCGGCGGCTTGGACATGGCGCCGGCACGCTGTCCCCCCGCCACTGTGGGGGGAGGGGGGGGAGGGTGAAGGCGTCAGCATGCGACCACTGGGAGGGAACTGCTGAATGACTGTTAACCCGCGCCCCGTCGGGGTGTGCCGAGCAACACGCCCGGTTGGGGGGGGGGCAATTTCCCCCCCCCCCTAAGATCTCGAGCACCGCGCAACATAGGGACAAACAGCAAACGGTGTTGGATAGCCCCAACAGGGGACTACCTTGTGACCCAATTTCATTGACCTAGGTCAAACCGATGACGTCACAGGTCAGGTCAAATGCCGAAGTTTCACCATTTACATGCATTTCAAGAAATGTGTTGTAAAATCGAGTAAAATGCATTTCATTGAAAATCATCGATGGGGAATCGTTCGTCAAACACATATTCCGCTATCTGAGGTCACTGATACCAGGTCAGGTCACAGAGGTCAGGTCGCTGAAGGTCACAATATGAAAATATCATGTGACGCATGTTTTATGGTCCATTTTATATGCCAAATGCGATTATGTGGGTCAGACAGCCTTTGGGGCCAGTTAAGATTATGTTCTGGTGAAGGTCAGGTCAAGGTCAGGTCAAGGTCAGGTCAAATTAGGTCAAATTTCAAATTTGATATTTATGCATAAAATGGGTATCGGTTCGATGCAGCTCGCCATGGGGAATTCAATGGTGGTCTTTGTTTCGCGCTACGTGGTCTATAATTGCTTTAAAAAAATGAGTTCGAAAATTTAATGCCATCAATTTTGAACAGTTTTTCGCTATAACTTGGCCAAAAAAGAGGTATCGATCTAAAATTTGATATGTAGATAGAAGAGTGCAGGGACTATCACATATATTCCGTAAAATCCAAAAATTGAAAATCCGAGATAACAGTTTTGTAGCGCCGTCTTTTCTCTACATGACCATATACAGAACTTTTGAAATTGCTTGGTAACTGTAGCTTTTGTGAGCGTTTCAAGATTTCATGTTTTTTGCTCATTTTTGCTCGAACAAGACCTCAGTTTGACCTCAATAACTCCTGACCTAAGGTGACCTTAGACTTATAATTTTGTGTGAAGGTGGCAAATTAATGCCCGGGAAGGTACCTACTGAAAATTTGGCAGCGCTGCGCGCCGCCGTTATCTTGCTATTCAGGAAAAACCACAGGGGGAGGGCAAGTTGCCCCCCCCCAACAGGGCGAGGGTTAAAACATAAATTTTATACATTCTTACATAATTTGACACCTACATCCAAATATGATACTAACATGTGGCACTTTTTTTTATAAATTTAGCTCGAATGTTTGAATGGACGGATTGACAGAGCCGGAGCCCACGCTAAGCAGAGCTTGTTGCGTAGACCCCGATCCCTACCGTCCGATCACGCAATTCCGGGTATCGGGAGAATTTAGATGCCAAAGTTTAGCGTGCCCTTCAAAGCCGGACACGGCCTGCCCCACTCAACTGACTTCAACTGGCTGCGGCTGATCCCACCAACCACAGACCATCCCCATCAGGAATCTCAAATATCGAGCGCTGGAGCGTCTTGAACCCGGGCTCTCACCACCGGGAGTCCAATGCCCTACCAACTGAGCTACGGGAATCGGAAGTATTCCAGCGGGCTCGGGAGCGGCAGTCTGAGCGAATGTGTGAATATAAACATTATTATGACCGGCGGCACCGAGCTAAGGATGTAGAATATCGACCTGGTGACCGCGTGTGGTGTAAAAATTTTGGAGCTAGGTCAAAGATGGATGATCCTTGGCTAGGACCTTATGTTGTGGTGCAACGTGTGGGCCGTCGCCATGTAGACGTACAGGATGATCGGGGTCGCATTCGCCGTACGCACATGCGGAATATGAAGCGTGATTTTGAGTGTCCTGTGTGAAACCGGAAACTTCGAAAACAGGGTGTTTATGTGCGCCAACTGTTCTGTTGTACTTATGTGTGACTGCATCATATTTTGTTGTGCTGTGTAGAAAACGTTTTCGTTTTTTTGAAAAGGGGGGAAATGTCGGGGGCGCGCCTGTTGTTGCGGCGCATTTCAGGTGACCTTGGCCTGGGCCGGTCACGTGATGCTCGGGTCGGCCGCGAGCCGGGCGGCCGGGGTCAGTGGTTTTCAGAATACAGTGAGGGCCGGACGCGCTGTGTGTCCGACTGTGACGGGTCCGGTCAGCTACCGCGACAACAGGCACGATTACCAAAAAAAAACAATCAAACCTGAGCTAACCTTACCTACCTACCTACAAACTACCAACCTACAACCCACCAACCGACAACCTTAAACCTACAACCTAAAAACATACAACCTACAACCAGTATATACTGCCTTGCTACAATCCAGACATGGGCATGGATCAGAGCGATGGATCTATGATCTCAGTGGATCTCAAAGCAAACTGCAGGTTAGGATCTATGATCCCACCGGATCCTGCATTAAAAAACTAATCTGGACCTATGATCGCATAGGATCTGATTATAAACCAAGAACATGGACCTATGATCTGGGTGGATCCCACCATGCACAATATTTGAAACCACGTTTTTGACAAGTGTTTGTATGTCAATAAGTGCCAGAAATCTATGGATTATGATGTGCAATCACATAAAATCTCTAAAACAGAACGTTTGTGAGTTGCAGCGAGTGATTTTCTGGGATTTCTGAGTTCACAGAAATAAATGTGGATCTATGATCATACTGGATCTCAAGCAAAAAATTAGCCACTGATCTATGAACCCTACAGATCTCTTGAAAATTGGAAAGCTGGATCTATGATCCCATGTATGACCATGATCTCTATGGATCCAAGATCAGGACTTGTGGATCAGATCCCAGATCTATTTTCTCAGATGCACGCACGTCTGCAGTACAACCCACAACTTATGGTGTTGCATAATTGTATCACAAATTGAGCAAATTGAAATGCCATAAAATCCTACGGTCGACTACCTTGCAGGCAAGGCAAAGCGACAAATTATTTAAGGAAATAGCATTACCTACACGTTGTACACACAAAACAAAACAAGACATCCAAAGGATGAGGTTCGGAAGTAAATAACTTACTCAAAAAAGTTGGCAACTAAAATGGCAAAAGATATAGTTGAATCACTGAAAAAGAATACCAGCCAGCTAGAAAAATAAAGCAAGAACTGCAATTCAAATTAGTAAAGCCAAGAAAATGGCGCAGCTTGAGCTTGAGCTGGACATCAACAAAACTGTGATTTTAAAATATACAGATAGCTAGCAATTAGGCTATCAATGACAAAATGAATATTCAGGATTTTTCTTGCCTCTTTCACCACTGTTCTTGACGAAAATCAGATATAGCCATCAAAACCAAAATGTGAATTCAACCGAATACTGCGCCACATATGAATCAAAATAATCTTTACTTTTTCCAAGGTTTGTGAAATCTTACGTAGTGAATACTTGGCGTTAAATGCTAATGACGTCATGAAAACATAGCCCTATTCTCTGCCCAAAAACCATAGACCAACAACAATCTTGCCAAAAACATCACTATGTCGTCCCCACCACTTTCTCAGGAGACCCCAATTCCGCATTTTTATTCATTATTCGGATTAGCTAAGACAAATGGCATATCAGGTTATCATATATAAAGAAGGTTAAAGAAGGCAACCTTTCGCACCTTTCGCCAGTCCAAGCATAGAGATCGTATATACATAATACATAATGTATATAAGATCTCTATGAGTCCAAGTCGGTCATGGTGGAAAGTCGCAGTCTGTATTTGTATTTAGGGCCTTGGTCGCAGTGTCCGTCGGGCTGTCACGGTCCTTCTTGGCCCTCATCATCCAAAAGACGACGGTGTTTGTGTCGCGGAGACGTTTTATTGGTGATAAATGCGAGCACCGAGCAGCAGCGGGCAAATTAACAGGACAATGCGGTGGCAAGGTAAAACAACAGCAAATCCGTACCAATCGCACACAATACGGTCGCAATACAACCCTGCGCGTTTCACGAGTCAAAATGTTAACTAAATGCAGCTATAGGTACACATTGCGAGGTGAAACGGGGAAATTTAACACCAACGCAGCGATACATGATAATACCGAAAATAACGTACGAAACCATCAATAACCAGTTCATGAAGGAGTAATATGAACGCTGCAGTACATCTACTGTGTAGGCGGTTCCACTCGCGTGACGAACACATTATCCGAGACGTTGTGAAATATCGCATCAAAACAAAAGTGCTATAACCTCTTCCTAGCATGCAGCATGCTTGCAGGAAGCCTGGGCCATTGTACAGTATAAACCGCCAGGGAAACACAACACACATAAGACTATATGGCAGGTACCCGGTGTCACAAAACAAAACCACTAACCCTGGTTAGCTCGTGAAACGCAACAAAAGAGTAGCGATAGAAAGGATGATGAAACATATGCACCAGTATTCTGCTTACAGGTCTTCCGACGCAGGATATAATCAAGCTCACTGAAGTGAATACTAAAATGCAATACAATTAAGATTCCCAGGTGTCGCCATAAGAGCTCGTTAATTGTAAATCAGTGACAATCAAATGCCAAGGTTAGTAATCCCCAAAATAAACAACGGCTCCATGAAGTTCGTGACAAAGAGGACAAAGACACCACACACGCGCGTAAAATAGAAGGGACAGAGCGAGGGCGTTCTGCTGCGTGATTCCCACTGATGGCAGTTGCTCCTTACAAGAGCGGAAACCTGCGAGACTACATAAACACATCACGCTACATTGAGTTCCCCGCGCAGTCCGGTTTACGATCGTGCAAGGCCAAAGACACGACTTTACACACATCCCAGCCAGGTTAGTATGCGGCAATCACGAGCCCAGTCAGACTGTTTCCCACTCTTTGCAACCCGTGACTACGTCCGATGTCGTCGACTTTTACTCAGATCTCCCATGTATATTGCAAGAACGAACTGAGTCGGGCTTCATCAAGAAAAAACATGTAAAATACAAAACCAATTATCCTCCAAGTACACTATATCTAAGTAGTCATCATTCTTTCCACGTATTGTGGTAACTACGAATGACATCCTAAACTTTTAGCAAGGCAGCAAGGCGGCAGCAATGGCAAATGCTCGACCGTAAAATATACATCATTCAGGCAACTCCCCGCTCTTTGCGACAGTTGAATCTCCGGCATCCCAAACTGGCCTTTATGTGCTATGCGATTACTTACATATTATCGAGAGCATTCGCCAAAGGCCAGGTTTTCATCCATATTACATGATTCCAAGTCGGTTCCACGGTCTGGTCGAAGTATGGCGGCTCATTTTGCCCCTGAAGTCTGATGTATCTGGGGCAAATGATGTATTCGAAGTCTGATGTATCCAGGTGTTGCCAAGGACGACGCGTTCGTCACGCATTGCTGACATCGGCTGTAACTGCCAGCAAGTGCCCACTTGGCCTGTGACCTTGTCACTTGATCCGTCTAAGCGGAGGCGCCCTTCCTGATGTCGACACCAGTCATGTTACTGACCATGGCCGGCACTTCCCCAACCACGGCCAGAACTTCGCGGGTCAGTTTCAACACGCCGATCTCGCCGTTGCCAGACGACACCATCTTGATCTTCTGCATCTGCGTCAGCGGCGCGGCCACCTCGGCAGCAACCTTCGGCAAGGCTTCCAGCATCATATCCACGATGGCAGCTTCCTTGTACTCGTTCCATGCGTCCGCCTTCTTTGCCATCTGCTCAGCCTCAGCCTTGGCACGAGCTTCGATAGCGAATGCCTCAGCTTGGCCCTTGAGAGTGATAGCCTCAGCCTTGGCCTGAGCCTCCATTACCATGCGGTTACGGTTGGCCTCGGCCAGTCGCTCCATCTTGTATTTTTCCGCAGCGGCCGGCTGACGGACCTTGGCTTCCAGCTCCTTCTCTCGACGCATAATTTCCTGCTCCATCACCTGGATCTGCTGCGAGCGCTCCACTACCTGCACCTGGATTGCTTCTTCCTTGATGCGCTGGCGTGACTTGGCAGCCTGCAGTTGGTAAGCCATCTCAGCCTCCGCACGCTTCGTCTCCACTTCCATGTCGTAAGCGGCCTTCTTCAGGTGGAAGTCACGTTGCGCCTTGGCAATTTCTACATCGTTTTGCAGACGAGAAGCCATGCGCTCTTCTTCAGCGATTGCTTCGTTGATGGCAGCGTCGCGCTTAGCCTCAGCCTCGCCGATTTTGGCATCTCGCTTCACCTCGGCCGTGCGGGCCATACCGAGCGCCTTCAGATAGCCCTCCTCGTCACGTACGTCCTTCAGAGTGTACGACACGACCGTGATGCCCATGTTGATCAGGTCAGACGAGGCGACGTGAAACACCTGTTCGCTGAACTTCTTGCGGTCCTTGTAAATTTCCTCAACGGTCATGCTGCCCATGATGGCACGCTGGTGGCCCTCGAGCGTCTCCAGCGCGACCTGGCGCACCTCATCCTCGCTCTTGCCAAGGAACTGCTCGCACGCAGCCAGCAACATGTCCTGGTTTTGTCCCTGGACCTTCACCTGGGCAATACCCGTCACGGAGATGGGAACGCCTTGGCTGGTGTAGACGCGCTGCGACTCCACCTGCAGCGTCATGGTGTTCAGAGAGATGCGCTGGCATTTCTGTAGGAATCCCCAGACGAAGGTGCGACCACCAGGAACCAGAAGCGGCTGCGAGTAGCAGCAACCGGAGATCACCAGCGCCTCATTAGGGCCGCAAGTGACAAATCCAAACGTCATGTTTGCTGGGAGGCTCTACGAAGAAGTGCTGATCACCTGTCAAAAGGAGCCAAGAATGAATAAATTGTAGTATAAGCACGCACTACAACAAAACTCTGACAAGCACAATTAAACATTGTGGATAGGAAGCACATGAACGTTTAACAGAAAGAACACATCCAGATGGAATCAAATACTAACTGAGTTTTCGAAAATTGATGATAAACATTTAAAATTTGGTGATGAACCATAGTTTCGGGTCCACCAAGAAGTTTGTGCACATACGCAAAACACACATTCCAGAACGTAATTGCAGGGATGTTCTAGCAAATAGGAGTACTTGGCTCCACTTGTTGTGACATTATTTCCATTTGAAATGTCAAATAACTTCATTAATTATAAAATACCTACCTATCCTACATTTATCATGTAGGATAGGTAGAAACAATAGTTAATTGTCAGGAGCAGTGTTGAAATTTTCGTTTTCGGTCCTGGTCCCGGAGAATAAAATCTGTCCGGAGAAGAGTCCAGCTTTAAGGACAACCAACATCAAAATCATATGTTTGGCCTACTAAATGTGAGAAATGATGAAATGTGTCGCTTCCAAAGCTATTTCTGCATGCTTTAGAATGATGCAATAATAGCAGTATTCTGTAATTAACAGAATGGGAATTTAGAATATTCTAGGTGCTGGAGCATAAATTTGCAAAAGTGAACAAACTCTTTTGGACCCGACTGGTTCGGGAGAAAAGGGACTTATTTCCCACACTGGTCATGAGCCTGGGCGACTGCTGCTAGGCATCTTCCTGAGATATGTTCGCCTATAGTTGATTGCTTGCTATCCAACTCAATACACAATATTAAATTCGAGAAAAAGTTAGAGCACATGGAATGGTTGGCTGTGTTCACAATGACCCTCAGCCCTAAAACAAATTCAAGTCACCAAACTTTGAAGCAAAATGAGTTGGGCAACCAACTAAGCAGACCAGCATCAAAAGTTTTCCTGGTGAAAGGGAATGGTCAGCCACTTCCACCATATACCTAACAATCCTTAAGAAAATTTCTTTGATCCACTTCATCATCATTTCACAGTAATATTGTTAAAATAACCTTTAATCAGATTAATCTTGACTTGGGGAATAGCAGTCAGGAATAGGTGTACCCTTACTGTCCTTTGACCCTCGTTCACCTTTATTTTTCTCACTTTCACTTATGATTTAAATAAATTATTACCTTTAGGTCTGCACTTGCAGTGTGTGATTAGGTACTGATTAATTAGGTGTGGTGAGACAATTCACAAATAAATAATATTTACAGGTAAATCATCATTTCAGATCTATTAACTAATGGTCAATAATCTGTTCACCTACTTCTAAGAAAGTACTATAAACTTGTAGGCACAAGAAAATCCAGCAGAGGGTGGAAAAGGAACAAACTGTTAACATTTCTTTCCAGCACTGACTGCAATAAGGGTAAGGTGGAAATAAGCTATAAGCAAGACACTTATCACTAGGTACCTCCTATTATGCAAAAATAAAACTAGATAGTCTGTACCATATCTCAGTTGGTAGAACATTGGGCTTGTGGGGATAAGAGTCTGGGTTTTAGTTGCCTCAAAAGTTATAAGCATTAAGACACTCATAATGGAATAGTCTGTGCTTGGTGTTAGTAGCTTAGGCTGGTGTGTAGCTGTGTTAAGTAAGGCTTTGATTGGCCTGCCAAACTTGGGCATCCTACTTAATAATCCAGCCACCCAGCATTGTCCAGTCAAACAATATGTGCAATGTGTCAGGGTTTACGCAGCAAGATCTGCCTAGGGTGGGCTCTTACTGCCTCCCATTCAAGAAGTTGAGCTAAAATTAAAACAGATAGCAAATTTGTAGAATGGACGGTAAGATTGGCTGTGAATTACATTACCATTCAAAATATTGTGATCAGGTACCTATAGGGATTAGGGCTAGTAATACCTTTATCAAATGAATAATTAATTTCCCAGTATCTGCCTGACAACTTCAAACCAAATCAAGACATAATGAAGAAGCCCAATTGAATAAAAAGTGTAATATGTTATATGTAGTAATTGTTGAAGCTGGTTCTCAGGGGGGTGAAATACAGGAATATCCTATAACCCCTACCGTAAAACGGGGTGTTAAGGGACAGTTTTGAGGTGTTTTGTTATATAACTCAAGAAGGGTTGGAGATAGAAGCATGAAATTGTCAGCATTTTATGTGGAATTTGGTGCTTTACATGTCTGCCACATTAAAGTTTTTAAGATTTATACCTGCATATTATTTTTTATTATTTTTCATCACTGTCCCTTAGCACCCCAATGTGGGGTGTTAAGGGACACCTATATTATTCCAAGAAATGGTCATCAAATGCCCACAATTGGGGTGTGGAAGGGCACACAATTTATTTATTGAAATGTTTTGCATATTCTGTCACAAAACAAGTCAGGTTCATTCACCACTAATGACTTTTTTAGCCAATTACGTGTAATGCAGTTTACGCTTGTGGAAAATGTGCTAATTATAACAGGTAAACAGAACCAAAAAGTAATCTTCTGTCATCAATAAAAACCCATGTTGAAGCTTGTCACTTGTCATTATGTTGCCCTCTTTGTTTTAGCCTTTTTATGATGACATCACATTTACTTACATCAGTCTCCATTGACCCATCATTGTAAAAGAGAGTGTTGAGATGTTTTGTTACATAACTTAAGATGTGTTAGAGATAAAAGCATGAACTTGCCAGCATTTTATGTGGAATTTGGTGTTTTCCATGCCTACTTAATTAAATTATATTTAGATATTATTTTTTATTTTTTTCTTCCCTGTTCCTTAGCACCCCACATCCACCTCAAAATATGCATGTATCTGGAAAAGAGGAAGAGGATGATGAATGAATGGGTGGATTTGCACAAGTTTTTCAGGAAACATGTGCAATACATGTGACAATACACCTATGCATTCATTTTCCCTGTACACCCACTAGTTTATGTGGTACACACAGAGTTTTGGAGATGTTTCAATTTTGTGAAAATGTGGCATGATTTTCAAATCCATTTTTGAACCAAATCACTTGCATGAAAAACCATACCATTTTCTCCTATGGTCAAGAGCAAAGCAGTGTCAACTACCACACTGAAGTTTTTATTGAACCTTCTCAAATTAGGAAGTTAATGTGACTCAAAGTTTTTCCCATGCAACTGTCCCTTAACCCTCGCCCTGGCAGGGGGGGGGGGTCGATGCGACCCCCCCCCCCCTAAGGTTTTTCGAAGATAGCGTAAAAACGGCGGCGCGCAGCGCCGCCAAATTTGGCACAGCCTATGGGGCAACCTTTTTACATATGACCTGAAAGTTTCAGGTCCGGGTGACCTTGGGTCAGGTCACCAGGTCAGAAAAACCGGTACAAGGTCATGGTCAAATTTCAATTTTCTTTTTGCACCTGTCCAACTCACAGTTTTGCACTGATTTCCTTCAAACTTTCAGGATGTGCTAAGTTCACCGAGTTGTATAACATATAGTTCGGGTTTTGTAAGGTCACTGACCTGAGGTCAGTTAGAGGTCATTACGTCGTAATGTTAAGCCTATGGGAAAATACTAAATTCGGAAAATACTGGAGATATCCGCTTCGTTCTATCACTTTTGTGCTTTGAAACCACAGTACTTAACAGCAGGTCACTTGGTGCTTCTTTGTTTGGTGTACTTATCCATGGGTCAGGTCAAATGAGGTCAACTGAGGTCAAATGACGTTCTTGCCAATAACTTGGCACATAATGACGCTAGAGCTTAAAAAATGGTATCATTGTGGTCCTGGTGATCAGCCGAATCGAATGATATGCGATATGATGCAATTTGGTTAACTTTAACTTAATTTATTAATTTAAGTTTACTTAAAATTTAAGAAAAACTTTAAGTACACTTAAGCAAGCTAAAAAGTACATCATTCGACGCGCCTTGACGTGCTGAGTTCACTGGTGCTTTTCTTTTTGCTCTATCTTAATTATATCAAAAGTTATAAGCGAAAACCTTTTGACCTGTTTTTAGCGAAATTTTTGCATTTATACCCCCCAAAACCCCCCTAAATATTGACCTAGAGCAACCAAATTTGCACAGGGGCGAGAACTCCAGGGGGCCCACCTACCTACCAAATTTGGTGTTTCTAGGTGCCATAGGAGCCAATCGCGAGGGGGGGGTCGCATCGACCCCCCCCTGCCAGGCCGTGTTATGAAAAATGCCCTGCCAGGGCGAGGGTTAACACCCCACTGTCCCTTAACACCCCATTTTACGGTACCTACTTTTAAAATAAAATGCTGCTACAAAATGTGGTGGAATCGGAAAACAGGGTGCCGGGGGCGATTTGATAAAGGCTCTTGAAATCATGTGACATTTAGCTTGTTAATGGCAATGAAAAAGCGAGAATTTATTTGCAGTGCACTTGACTAACCCCCCGTTCGATGTCTCTCAAGTCTCAGACGATGAAGATTCTATGTTGTCCGGCCAATCACGTTCCATAACCGCAGCCGAGCCCCCACTGATCTTGAAAGGGATTGGCCGGACGGCGTAGAATCTTTGCCGTCCAAGAGACATCGAACGTGGGGTCAATATGCCCTCTGGCATATTTTTTTTTTCTAATTCCATCCTAAATTTCCCAGCAATCACAATATGTCGTAGCCATTCTTACGGGAACAAACCAGAAGTAAATGCTGCAAAAATACACGAAATAGTCTCATACCACCCTTACGAGTTCCAAAACTCTGTCCGAAATCACCAGTCGTAAACTGCGACGCAAAAACGACGGTAGCGTCGCAATGCATGCAAGCTGAGGTGGGCGTGCCTCCCGGCTCCGTATCGAAAATGCTAAAATAAATTAGATACCTGTCGAAATGTCACTTACTCGTTTTTAAACCAGACAGTCAGGGCAGAGCCAAAGCCGCAGCAACTGACGGTAATTATTAGTAATCCAAATTAAGTCAATCCAATCATCCAATCATCCTTCAATAACGCAGCGCATGCTAACGCGATACATATCTGACGCGTTATTGCCGCATTAGGTGCTACCATATTCCCTCCAGACTTTTGCCACTTCTGGTTTTCCTTCATCAGCGACCCAAGCCCAAGCCGCCCATTTCAAGACCAAGGCCATTCCAGACCGGCAGCTTATCGGTGACGGTATTCGGCCGGTTCTTAGCACTGGGAGATCAAGATGGGGGGGGGGGAACATTTTGGGGCAAATGCCCTTCCCCGCAGCGCCCGAAATCGACAAAAAATGCGGTTTAGTTCGATATTAACCCGCGCCCTGGTGTGGGTCTGAGCCACCTTCGCCCTGGTGGGGGGGGGGCCAAAATGACCCCCCCCGTCTAACTCGAAAACGAAGAGGGCTAGGAAGACGCGGAAAAAAGCAAACGAAAGCCCATAACAAGTACGTTCGAAAGTATTTCGGTCATTTTTTCGCTAAGGTCAATATTGAGGTCGCTAGAGGTCATCATAGGTCAAATTTCAGTGTTTTCGGTGTTGCCGGACATATTCCGCTGTAGCTCGGAAACTAGAAGAGCTAGAGAGCCGCGGAAAAAAGCAATCGATAGCTCTTTTCAAGCTCTTTCGCCAAGGTTCGTCAGATTTGACCTCAGCTCAACGGTTTGGCCTACAGAGGTCATGCAAGGTCAACTTGGCAAATTTCGTTGAAAATGTTTTTAACTATAGCATGCATTCACGAGAAAATAGAGAAACGATTCATGCACCATCGTGCTTGGCTCGTCGAGACGCGTCGAATGATATATAGTTTGACCTCGAAAGGTCATTTTGAAAATTTGACCTCAGGTCAAGGTCATGACCTTACCGAAATAGGTCATGCTGCATATCATTCGATCCGCATTGACGAGACAAACACGATAAACGTCGAATGGAGTCTCTATCTCTATTCAATAACAAGTAAGTGCAGAAAAACCGCTGGTGACCTCTGGTGACCAGGGAGATGACCTAGCGTGACCTCAGCGAGGTCACAAGCAAATGGTTTCACATGGGCTGTGATTTGCTGACCCAAGACACTTCAATAACGAAATATAGGAACAATCACGCCCGATTTAGCTGAAAAACAACTACTTTTCGATTCTCCCATTGACTTATAATGGGGAGCAGCGATGACCTGACCTGACCTTAGGTCACATTTATAAAAAATCCGAGATAGCCATTTTGTAGAGCTGGGTGACATCTTCAAGTACTGTAAATTTTACATCGATCGGATAAAAGCTGTGCCTTTGAGAGAGCTTTGAACTTTTTTAGAGGTGGTGTCAGTTTTGGTGACCTTGTGACCTGACCTGACCTGACCCGAACCCCCCAAAAAAGGACATGATGTAAAAATGTTGAATAAACAGCTATACAAAGTTTCAGGGCGCTAACTCAAGTGGTTTCTGAGTTATCGCTGAAAAACCACAGGGGGGGGGGCCAAAATGGCCCCCCCCCCCCACCAGGGCGAAGGTTAAAACTAAAACTAAACTTTTATTAAAAAGATCTGTTTTAAACTGCACACTAAGGAATCAAAATCCCATGAGTTTTTGGAATTTGTAGAAACTTATTTGGGGCTATGCTATGCCCCCCGGCCCCCATGCCCCCGCAGCATCCAAGACTGCTTTGCTTGATCTGTCAGTGGTTCTTATAGGAAGCTGGGATGATAAAAGTTGTCAAAGTTGATATCATAGGCGGCGGAACGGGGACGGGGCACCGTGCCCCCTTTGATTTTGGCACTTAAACATTAGCCCTATGGACGTTGCATGGAAAGAATGGGACCAAAAGTCGGCAGTGCCCCCCTTAACCCTCGCCGGCACAGGGGGGTTTGATGCAACCCCCGTAAGGTTTTTCGCGAATAACTCGCGTAAAAAGCGGACGATCGCGACGACACTTTCAGTACCCTCGCATTGATCAATTTTACACCTACCCTGAAAATTTCATGACCCTGACCAAAAGGACCTTTGACCTGTGACCTCTTTTCCGTGACCATGTTTCGCCGGAATCGCGATTCGGCGCACGTCGGCTCGCATTAGCCGCGCGTTTGCAAGCTTTTCGTGGTTTCAAACGTTCAAACATGTGATTTGATGTTGCTCCCATGCATTAGGATGGGTGTCAAGGTCACCTGAAGGTCAGGTCAGGTCATTGCCCTTTGGTGACCTCGGTTCACTTTTTCGAGTTTTACATGTTTTTAGGCTAGTTTTTGGAGCTGAATTCGAATTTAGCAACCATTTGAACATTTACGAAGTAGTTTTGATGCCTTCGTAACATGTTACGAAGCTGTCAGAGGCGGATGACAGGTAGGTACTACGAATACCCGTCACGACCCCTACCGGTTGACCTGACCTGACCTGACCTGACCTGACCTGACCTGATCTGGTCTAAACGCTTAACCCGCGCGGGGCTGGGGGGGGTAAATTTTACCCCCCCTCGCGAATATTTGCAATATCTCAAAAACGGCGGCGCGCAGCGCCGCCAAACTTTCAGTACCTTTTCTTACATCAATTTGACACCTTCCCTGAAAATTGGAGCGAAATCCGTCGGAAAATTTTTGAGAAATTGACGTTTTAGTGACGTCATGTTCGCCATTTTCGCCTCAAAAACGGCAAAAGTTCAAACGCCGCTAACATCTTCATTTTTAAAGGAATCAAGACGTAACAAAAAAGGTTATACGTAATTTTACTTTGTCTATCAAATGGCTATCTCGGTTTTTTGAAAATTTTGGATTTTGGCCTAAATTTTTTCAAAAAACTGATTTTTTTGGCAAAATCATTATAAAATCCAAAATTTTGAGTCTATCGAAAAAACCGGAATATATGTCAGAGAAGTGGTCTATGTGCACCTACATACCAAATTTTGGAAGAATCGGTTCAAAAATGTGGGAGTTATTCAAAATTTTATGACGTCACGACACACAAAATTTTTGAGAAATGACTTTTTTGAAAGTTCTAGACCTCGTACGGAAACAAAAATAGCACCATTCGATTCGCCGTGAAAAACTGCATCAGATAGACACCTTTTTAGGCCTTAACAACCAACTTCAAAATTTGACCTCACTTGACCTGACCTTGACCTGACCTCGACCTGAAATTCATCCAGAGGTGGTCCATATCACTTATTGAGTGTGCCTATTGAATTCTATGAGTAAAATGACCCATAAAACATGTGTCGCACATGCCCTTTTCTATATTTTGTTTTTTGGTGACCTGACCTGACCTGACCTGACCTTGACCTTGACCTCTGAATGATATTGTATGCAACTAATATTGTCTTGGTAGCCTAAGAACACGTTTTGGGCGATCAGTCTCAGTCCATGACTCCATTCTTCGGCAACTACGGTGCAAGGCCGATACTGTAGAAACTTGCAATTTGTACCCTTGACCTGACCTTGACCTTGACCTCAAACTTTAAATTAAGTACATGTTTTTAGTAGTTCGTGATGAGAGCTTTCGATTGGCGTTTGAATTTTCCAAATCGGACCATTAGTTCGGGAGATAACAGGGGGGGTAAAATTTACCCCCCCCCCCAGCCCCGCGCGTTCGGCTGGAGACCCCAGCCCCGCGCGGGTTAACGACATCATCTGTGATCAAAACTAACACGATATTCGTGATCAGCACCCCGGAAAACCCCTTAGCAGCCACGCTTTACGATTTTCTAACAGGTCCCGATATTCCCGATTTTTGGGTCATTGACCTGACCTGGAAGGTCAACCGATGACCTAGGACCTTAAAATTGGGTATCATTGGCTTCCTCTCGTGACGGGCAACACGCTTGTATTTCTGCGAAGCTCTAGCTCCATCAGGGGCCAAACGCGAGGGGGAGTCGTACCAACCCCCCCCCCCCCCCCTGTGCCGTCGAAAGACTCAAAATGGCATGTGCCGGCGAGGGTTAATTGAAGGTGTTCCGCCGCTACTGGTCGCCAGGGGTGTATAGTCGTCAGGGGTGTAATTTTATATGTTAATTAAATATGGCTGTAAGTTTATATACTTTTATATTTTTTGTGGGGACAGATGCACCTTTCGATTTTTGCCTACCCGTGGATAAGGAACACCGACTGAAGTGAACAATCACTTTGAAACTTTCAGCGATTGATATGTATAAAAAAATCTCGGTTTTTTATATCTTTTACCTAAGGTCAGGTCAATTTTGCGACCTCTCCATTAGGTATAAGTCAACGGGAGAAAATTGAATGCATCTCTTTAAGATGAATGTCGTTCAAAACCCTCTCAAACATAGGTGAAAATGACACACTGAATCGGAAAAAAAATGCACTTGTGTCCAGTGGCGTACCCAGGAATTTGCGAAGGACCAGCTGGCATTGGACGAGAGGGCACCAATCAAGGACGGCGCCAACAACAAGGAGGGCGCCACATATCTGAAACTTGAATGTGTCAGTTATGTTTGTACACGTGCGGAACGAACATAACTGACATTGTACATGCGTACACATTGATCAGCCTCAGGCAGCGGTACACGTGCGGTACGAACATAACTCATAACTGCGAACGTGAAAGTGTCGCGGCCGAGCATTCTGGGTGAGTCTGTGGTGCGCGTTGCATCACTGTTCCGTTGCTATTTTGTATTACTGGTGTCATATGCATTGCTACATTCAATATAATTTCCTCACTGAGCCAGCCGGCTTTACTCTTATCTATCGGCGCTACTCCGTACTCCGTAGGAGTACCTATCTCCGTCACGTCTGCGGTCGAATATGTACCTAATAGCAATTGTGTTTTTCTTCAAACGCCCTTAAACTGAATCGAAATGTGCTCTCGCAAGACATGTCATCAAATAGCCGATTACAAAAAGCAAAGTATTTTGCTCACAGTGCTATATATTTACAAAATATACCTACCACTAACACCCAGCGACGGACATCTCTCACCTTGGCATATATCCACAAAATATAGCACTATAAACTCCCCACGAGGGACGTCTCACTCCTAAAATGATGCGGCGGTTTCTACGGAACATTTCTCATAAAACTTGCTTCGGCACGAGTGACACCTCTCACAGTGACATATATGTTCAAAAAATATGAAACTTCCAACTCCCTACGAG